TATCGTGGCAACGAGAAGAAAAGGAAGAATACGCGTCAATTTTTTTTTGCAACGGTCATAAAATGGACCGGTGATGAACGGTCAAAATGTAAAAAAATAAAAAAAAAACTATTTTTTTTTTCAATTTTCACTCATATATATATATCTATATAATATATATAGATATATATATATATATCTATATAATATATATATATTAATATATATAGGAAAGGGTTATTTGGAAAACAAAAAACTCTAAAAAAACCCCAAAAATCATAAAAATGCATAAAAAAATAATTAAAGATTACAAAACTTTTTTTTTTTTAAATTTTTTATAAAAAAATCGCAGGTTTTTTAATAAATTCGCTGAAAAAAAAATAAAAAATCAAAATTTAAAAAAAAAATTTTAAGAAATGAAAAAAAAAATCAGCGAATTTATTTAAAAACATGCGATTTTTTCATAAAAAAATTCAAAAAAAAGTTTTGTGATCTCTTAGTATTTTTTTATGCATTTTTATGATTTTAGGGGTTTTGTTTTCCATAGAACCGAAACCTATATATATATATTTATATATATATATATCGATATATATAGAGATATATATATATATATATATATATTCACTTCAAATTTTACTCACCATTTCTCACTTCAAAATTTTACATACCATTTCTCAATTCATTTTTTACACAATAAATCATATGGATCAAAAATCCAACACTCCTCCTCCAAACACAAATACATCTCCACCTCTCGGTTTTGCACAATACGAGTTGTACGCGAACATCCTCAACACTCAAGACAACTTTTTCAATCACGTCTCACCCCGTCACAATTCCCTACAACCCTTCCACAAAACCTTTTCAACACATTTACTACAATGCAACAAAATACCACACAACCACCACCCACACAAGAAACGGTATCGAGACACAAGCGGGGGGAAGCCGAAAAAAAAGGCCAACAAAGAGAGAGCACGAAGGAAAGGGAAAGTGGTTGCGGTGGAGCAATCGGAAGACGAACCTCCAACATGGTGGATTGCGGAGGAAGAATACGCGTTGGCGGTGTCATGGTGCGGGACATCAAAAAATCCAACGCAAGGAAACAATATGAGAAAAGTTGCTTTTTGGGAAGATGTGATCGGGAAATTGTTAGGTAAAATATGAAAGGTTGAAAACATGCGGCTTTCACATTTGAGTACTATTGTTACGACGACTCAACATTTGCGGCTTTCACATTTGAGTACTATTGTTACGACGACTCAACATTTGCGGCTTTCACATTTGAGTACTATTGTTACGACGACTCAATTTCATGTGCAAATTGCGGCTCTCTCACCTATATATATGCATGTATGTTTTGCATATTTTGTGTGCAAAAACTTGAGAGAACATCAAGTGTAGAGTGTCAAGCCAATTGTAATCTTGTGAGTTTTAATAAAATTCTCTAGTTGCAGCCCGTGGATGTAGGATTTGCACCGAATCCGAACCACGTAAAATCCTTGTGTTCTTCTTGCTTTATTTTCGTGAGTTTGTGTGTGTGTGATAGTGTGTTTCCGCTGCGTGTACCCGGTCCGGTTCCTAACAACTGGTATCAGAGCCTGGTTAGCGAGGTTTTGGAGGGTACGATCGTTTTTTTTATCACGCACGAGTGTACCTGATTTGTATCTTGTTTGTCGTAATGGCTGAAGACAAGGTTGTAATCGAAAAGTTCAACGGTTCTGATTTTAGCTGGTGGAAAATGCAACTAGAAGCATTGCTATGTCAGAAAGACTTGGACGTGGTACTCGGAGACAAACCGGAGAAAATGGAAAAAGCTGCTGAAGATGCGTGGAACTCAAAGGACAAGAAAGCCAAGGCGGTTATTACATTGTCGTTGACGAAGAGCGTTGCTTTCAACATCATGAATGAAACCACGACACGTGGTATGATGGAGGCTCTGTCAAATATGTATGAGAAACCATCGGCGGCTAACAAGGTGTTCTTGATGAAGGAGCTGTTCACTACAAGGATGAATGAGGAAGGCTCAGTTACGGTTCACATTAACAATCTAAATTCAATTCTGTCCAGATTATCATCTGTGGGAATTAAATTTGATAACGAGACTTAAGCATCACTGCTACTAGCTTCTCTACCTGATAGCTGGTCCGGAACAGTTACTGCTGTTACGAGTTCCGTGGGGACCAGTGGTATGACTTTTGAAGGGGTTAGAGATTTGGTTCTAGGCGAGGATATCAGACGCAAGAATCAAGGTGGATCTTCCTCTTCTGATTTATTAAATGTCGGAAGAGGTAGAGGGAATAGCAGGAATAGTGGAAGCAGTGGGAGTCGGGGAAGAAGTTCATCTAGAACTAAGAAGAATGTGAAGTGCTGGAACTGCCAGGAGGTGGGACATGTTAAGAGTCAATGTCCAAAGAAAGAATTGAACATTGCCGGTGCTGAGAGTGTGTCTGAGGATGATGCATTGATACTCAGTATGGAAAGTTCTGTGGACTCTTGGGTCATGGATTCAGGGGCTTCGTTTCACGCCATGGACAACGGGGAAACGATGGTGAATCTAAAAGAAGGAGATTTGGAAAGGTACGTTTGGCAAATGACGAGATGCTTCAGGTAACGGGCATGGGAGATATTGATTTGGTTACTTCATTGGGAACTACATGGAGCCTGAAGGATGTCAGGGTGATTCCGGAGCTGAAGAAGAAATTGATTTCTGTTGGTCAGCTGGATAAACAAGGACTGGAAGTAAGGTTTGGTGGTGGTAAATGGAGGGTGATCAATGATAATCTAGTGATTGCTCATGGTATGAAGTGTGGGTCATTGTATATGGTTGAGGTATCTGCTGAGGGAAGTATGACCGTCCCTGTTAAGCAAGACAAAATCTGGTTCGCTAAATCTACGGCTAAGAGAGTTCATTTTGCAAACATGAATTCTGGAGCCAAGGGGATGTTAGCTGAACGAGTCAGAAATTCTAAACCATTCAGGGGATTCTGTGACAGTGGGAGCACGGGGTGTGTTTCGGGTACAGTTACAAAGAGCCGTTGGGTTTTGAAGACTAAGACTGAAAAAGTCTCTCCTGTTGAAAGTTTGCAAAGTTGGGAGAGTGTTAGTGGTCCTCGGTGTATCTCTGGATCTAGTGGAGTGTCCAAACCGGTTGAGACAGAGGATGAGTCGGTGGTGGGATTAGCCACGACTGAGTTGGAGCTAGTGGGAGCTTCAACTGTCCCTTCTAGTACTTGAAGATGAGGGGCGGCTGCAATTAGAGAAATGGGACTAAGTTTAGCTTGTTCTTAGGAACTGGAGGCTTGGAAGACTTGGTTGTTTTAAGATTACTGGAGTTGGATGACAGAGACGGACCATGTTGTTCAAACTTTCAAGTGGGAGATTGTTAGGTAAAATATGAAAGGTTGAAAACATGCGGCTTTCACATTTGAGTACTATTGTTACGACGACTCAACATTTGCGGCTTTCACATTTGAGTACTATTGTTACGACGACTCAACATTTGCGGCTTTCACATTTGAGTACTATTGTTACGACGACTCAATTTCATGTGCAAATTGCGGCTCTCTCACCTATATATATGCATGTATGTTTTGCATATTTTGTGTGCAAAAACTTGAGAGAACATCAAGTATAGAGTGTCAAGCCAATTGTAATCTTGTGAGTTTTAATAAAATTCTCTAGTTGCAGCCCGTGGATGTAGGATTTGCACCGAATCCGAACCACGTAAAATCCTTGTGTTCTTCTTGCTTTATTTTCGTGAGTTTGTGTGTGTGTGATAGTGTGTTTCCGCTGCGTGTACCCGGTCCGGTTCCTAACAGAAATTTCAGACCATTTTGAAGAAGGATGCAAATTATCGGATTCAAGATATGTTGAGTAGCAAATGGACTCAAATAAACAAGAAGTGCACCAAGTTCAATTCCATCTACAACAAACTTTCCTCGCACAAGCAAAGTGGTGCGACCGATTTTGACGTTTATAGAGTGACGATGGACCAATATCATGTCGAGACGGGTCACGTTTTCGAGCACGAAAAGATTTGGGAGATTTTCAAGGAAGACCCAAAATGGAAATAAAACGGATACATTTACGGAACAACAATCGAAGAGGTCTCGCGGCTTGGGTTCAGTCGACGTTTCGGACGCACGCACGAACATCGACCTCAATGCGGACACGAATGAGATACCGGACGACTTGAATGACATCGAAGAGATCTCCCCGCCTCGACGATCGATAGGTCGCGGCAAAGCGAGGCGGGCTCAACGACATGCAGATGAAGGCGAAAGTAGACGTTAAGAACAAGCGAAAATGAAACAAAAATTTGACGTTCACAACGAAATCGCGCGTAAAAGATATGAGTTGCAACGGGAGCATTTGGAGTTCCATCGTCGTGAAGCCGAGGAAGATCGCATTGTGAAGGATTTGACAATTCTTCAAACTAGCGAGGAGAATATGCCACCGAGACGGGCAGAGGTGCTCCGAAAAATGAAGGCGAAGATCGAGCATAAATATTTAGGCGAAGAATAGTGTATCGGTTTTATATTTTTAAAATTATTAGGACTATCGTATGTTTTCGGTCAATATATTTTTTTTCCTTTGTAATGTCGTTTTTATTTTTAAAATGATATGTTTAATTAAGTATTTAATTTAATTAGGTTTTATTTAATTTATATGTTTTTAAAAAAATATTATGACATAAATTAAAAAAATAAAACAAATTAGAAAAATAGAAATTAAAAACATCAAAAAAATAAAAAAATAAATAGAAAATGGTAGGTGTTATCACATGTTATTTGGTTTCGTCCATTTCCACAATGAGTGTTATAACACCAAAAATATGACTAAGATGATGAGACAAACACTTTGGGTATGATAACATGTAATAACACGTTGGCCATACACAATAGCCTTAACATAAACAATCTTCAAAGAGACATCATCCATAGAAGAATTTGAATATCAATATATGGGGAAATTTTGATTTTGCTGATAGCATTGTATTTATAAGATCTCAAACTATGAAATATCATTGTTGTCAACTGTTTAACGGTGGTTATTGTACGTATTTCGTATACTAAAGTACTAAGGGCATCCATAATGCATTAAACTTATTAGAGTTTAATGGATTGACACATCATCATTTTACTTACTATACAACTCTACATTAGTTTTTCTACAATGCATTGAACTCAATAGAGTTCAATGAAATATATTTTAATAGTTAAAAGTTTCATTTTTCCCATTAAAGAGTTCAATGTCCATTGAACTCTATATCCATTGAATGCCAACATGACATCCCACAATGGTAGAGTTTATTCCATTTAATGACAATTAGGCATGACAACTCATTCGACTCTCCCATTGAACTATGCATTGTGGATGCTCTAAACTATTCAGAATAAATGATATATTTATTATTTTAAGTAATTTATCCACTTCTTAAAAAAAATTCCTTCTACGCCATGATTGTTCACTTATTATACAGACTTTTCCTATGCATAGTTTATCCCCACATGCATCTAGTTAATGTAATATACTAATTACATTTACATGCATAATCTCTGAATTGTTAGTTGTTTAATGCCAATAACTTAAAGGGTGGTTAAACCAACCAATTAAGAAATATAAACTATCATTTAGTCAACTATGCTTTATTGACTTTCTCCTCCATTAATCCAATATATATTGCACTCTTCATCATCTCTATAATAACAAGGAGTTCTGGTAGATACATATAATTTAATTCAACCTTGTGACTGCATCAAATCCTGAGGATAGTGACTACCAACTCACAACAAAAAGAAACCTTTAAGAACAAGTTTGATATCGTTCAGTTTCCATTTCCATATATATAGTGAACCAGGTTAGAATTATATTTGAGTAGTATATCTATTTGAGTCTATTAATTTATATATGTTAATTACTACCCCTTTCTTGTGGATTAAGTTGATTGTTAAACATCTGATTATGTGCAGGGAGCTTTCATTCTGTCTCTCCGCTTTGTTACGATGGTATATTTATCTTCACGTTCTGCGCACAGATGGACATACGATGTGTTTGTGAGTTTCAGAGGGGAAGATATCCGTAAAACATTTGTGGGTCATCTGTTCAGTGATTTCAGAAGGAAGGGGATTTATGCTTTTAGAGACGATGATCAGTTAAAGAGAGGAGAAGATATATCACCTGGACTCTATAAAGCCATTGAACAGTCAAGGTTCTTGATAGTTATATTCTCAAAAGACTATGCATCGTCAACATGGTGTCTGAGGGAGCTTGTGAAGATCCTCAAGTGTAAGGAGATGGACGACGAATATGAAGTTCGGGTGTTGTACTACGATGTGACACCTGAGGTGGTAAGGAATCAAAGGGGTAGCTACGAAGAAGCGTTCGTGAAACATGAGGGTTATCATAGAAAAGAGGTCCATGAATGGAAGGAAGCTTTAACTTGGGCTGCTGACAACTTATCTGGATGGGATCTCCAAGCTTTGTCTAATGGGTAAATCCTCCATTCCTCCATGCTTAACTTATTTTATATACACTATATTTGGTAGGAAGGCATCGGTATATTAACTCATACTAATAATAAAACCATTATATCAAAACAGATATTTTAACATTTTAAAGATAAACTTTTTTCACTAAGTTATAATATGTTAATATTGAGTTTTTAATTCCTAAAATATATAGATTATAAAATCTTGTTAAAATTAATGGGATAAATTTACAAAAGAAAAGTTAAATTTTAAATACTATATTCAATTTTGAACTCACAATCAGATATCTTTTCGAAATTATTTTTTTCGTATTTACACCGTTTATTTAAGAATTTATATATATTGGAAGTTTTTGTTAGTCATGTTTGTTATGTTTGACCAATCATGTAAATGTAATACAATCTTTAAATTATTTCAAATCAACTTGTAATTACACTTACATCAATTCTTTATATTTTTTAACAAACATTTTATTATTTATGTAGCATCTCTAGTACATTTTATTTGTTTTTAGATTTTTGTAGGATTTTTTTTTAATGACAATATTACTTATGTCTTCAATGAGACTTAAAACCCTCAAATTCAAAGAGAGAAGATAGCACCTAATATCGATGGAGAAACAAAATCGCTTTTTAGATTAAATATTTAATTAACTATATCAAATACAACTACCAAAATACTAAAATATGCAATGTAGCCGTTACAACCTTAAACAAATTATATGATGACGCAAGCAAGAAAATAATTATATGATCACTTGACAACCAACTAAACACTTATTTACGTAATATATTTTTAAACAATTTATTGAACAATGTAATCGAAACAAATTATACTAATATTTTAATCATGTTACATTGTTATCTGTTTTATATTTTATTTCATTTTTAGGATGAAATTTAGGGTAAGTATGATACAGTTTGATACGGGGTTTTGGACCAAACCGAACTGCAAACCGCATTTGCGGTTATTTAAATTGAAAAACCAAAATTTACGGGTTTTATGCGGTTCAGTTTTGGCGTTTTTTTTTTCGGTTTTGTGATTATTTCGGTGTGGTTTTGATTTTTAACTGCAAAATGAGTTGGTGCAATTTTACGTCTGACGTTTGTAGGCTAAACAAGGCTTCATGCGGCACTTGCTGAGTGATGCGCATATATGAAGCTATTTATAATAAATCGTCCACCCTTTGTACGCATTCTTTCACTAACGATGTGGGACAAGTTCCCAACCTAAATGCTAGACAACATTTTTCTTTCATTTTTTTTCTTATCTATATTACTTTATGTTTTTTAATTAATTACACAAACATATATACATCACCTAATTAAATAATTACACAGAACCCTCCCATTTGTTTCTTTTAATTGGTTTTATGCTTCAAGATAAAATATGTTATGGATTATTCATCAAAAAATTTATACATTGATTAGTTTGAGATACTTATCATTTTATAATAAATAAACTAAATATTATAAGGAGTTAAGGTTATATATATATATATATTATATATATATATATAATATAATATATATAACTTTAACTCCTTATAAATATTTAGTTTATTTATTATAAAATGATAAGTATCTCAAACTATCAATGTATAAATTTTTTGATGAATAATCCATAACATATTTTATCTATATATATATATATATATATATATATATATATATATATATATATATATATATTATATATATATATATATATATATATATATGGGTGCAGTTCAGTTTTTTGCGGTTTTTGCAAAACTAAAAACCGCACCGCACCAAAAGTTTTCGGTTTTTGTAAAACTAAAACCGCAACGTCGGTTTTTGTTTCGGTTTCGGTTAATATAGTTTTTTTTTGTTTTTTTGTTTTTTTTGTTTTCGGTTCGGTTTTTGGTCACCCCTAGATGAAACAATATGGTTCATTCATGAAAATACTTTGTTTGTTACATTAATTAAGAAAAATAAAAATATCCTTCCATAAACATTCGTTTAACATGTGTTTATTGTGTGTGATCAACTATATCTTCTTCTTAGCAAAATGCAATAAATAGCAATGTATTTTTATTTTATTTATTACTAAACCACCAGGTTTCGAAAATCAATATTAGAACCATCATATTTAAGAGTATCTAAGACTCGGTATTATGTACGTAATGTCACACAATTAACATATCGTTATATTTCATAAATATTTTTTCATTATCCATAAATTTTTTATAAGTTTATAAATGAATCCACATGCTTAATTGTATACTTATTTAACATATATTTTTTCATATGAAATCATAAGATAAAGAAAAAAAGGCCTTATCTTCTTATTATAAAACATATTCATTGATCTTGTTTATAAGCTAAGAAATTAAACACATAATAAAAATTATTAAAATAGTATTTAATTTCTATAATGATTATAATTTTAAGTAAAAATGAAGTAAAAAGTGACAGCTATTATAATAGAAAGAAAGGAAGTGAAATATCAATGTAAGTTAAATGTAGGGTCGAAACTTTCGAGTTTCGAGCCAAAGAAGCGGTCAATGCCGCATATGCATGGACCAAAAGTGGTGACAAAAGAAATATTAGTCGTGAAAATGATATCGTGAAATTAAATAATTTCCTCTACATTTTTTCTATGATTATATGGTACAAAGTTGCGATTATGAATATGCTCGAAAGTTTCCTAAACCATTTATGGCAAGAATTTTTCACATTACAAAAAATAATAAATTTTAAATTATGATGACTAAATTAGAAACGAAGTAATTAAAAGTAAGTTTCTATTCATTGCAATATGTCCTTCGTTAACGTTTTAGATACAAACTTCCATAATAAAGTAATTGTAAGTATTGTTGTTTCATGGTTTTGTATGTAGGCCTGAGCCGAAGTTTATAGAAACAATCTCAAACGAAATATTTCATAAACTAACAAGCACCGGCCCAATAGACGCCGGCGACAACCTAGTTGGACTATACACCCGGGCGGAGCAAATGGATCTCACGCGGTTCGCTAAGCCTAAATCAGCCAACATTCACATGATTGGAATATGCGGAATTGGTGGAATCGGAAAAACCACAGTCGCCAAAGCCATATATAACCTACTTCATACACACTTCGAAGCATACAGTTTCTGTGAAGACGTTAAAGGTGTTGAAAAACGTCACGGTTTAGTCCATCTACAGGAAAAACTTCTCGCTAATCTTATGAGCCTAAGCGATCTCAAAATACGGAATGTAAGTCAAGGCATTGGGATGATGAAAAGAAGTATGTGGGCTAAAAGGGTGCTCATTGTGCTTGATGACGTGGATAATCTTGACCAATTCGAAGCTCTAGTAGGCTCACCTTCTTGGTTTAGTCCCGGAAGTATGATTATATTCACTGGTCGAGATCGACAGTTGCTTACTGCTCATGGAGTTGAGGAAATCTTTGAGGTTGATCTTCTTTGTGATGATGAAGCTCTCGAGCTATTTAGTCTTTACGCTTTTCGAAATAAGCATCCTAAAGAAGAATTTATTGATCTTTCAAACGAAGTGGTTCGCTATGTGAATGGACTCCCGCTTGCTCTTAAAATTCTGGGTAGTTTTCTATTTGGAAAAACGGTGGAAGAATGGGGAAGTCAACTGAAGAAACTCCGGCGATATCCTGATTCTCAAATACAACAAGTGCTAAGGATAAGTTATGATGGGCTTGATTTTGATCAGAGAAACATCTTTCTTGATATATCGTGTTTCTTCAAAGATGAGAAGAAAGATTATGTTATCAAAGTGTTGGGTGGCTGTGATTTGTTTCCGGTGACTAATATTAGAGTTCTTATTGATAAGTCATTGATATCGATTCGTGATGATAGATTGCAAATGCATGATTTGGTTCAAGAAATGGGTTGGCGAATTGTTGATGAAGAATCAGAGGAGCCTGGGAAGAGGAGTAGGCTGTGGTTTACGAAAGATGTACGTGATGTGTTAAACAAGGATAAAGTGAGTAAGCCATAAGGGTATTTCCCTTTTGAGTTTTATGATTGAACATTTTTTTTTTAAATAATGAATTTTCACTCTAATAATGTCTAGGGAACTGGAGCTGTTAAAGGTCTAGCCATGGATGTTTCAAGTTCAGAAGTTGATATTAATGGTAAAACCTTCACAAGATTGAATAATCTTCGATTGTTGAACCTTTATATTGGATCGTGGACTAGACTTCTAGACAACAATGGAAAAATACGTGAGACAAAATTGGGGATAGAAACCAAGGTGCATGCAACTTCCGGAACGCTTGATTTTTTGTCTAGCGAACTTCGGTTGTTTTGTTGGCATGGGTACCCTTTCCACTATTTACCATCGTCGTTTTACCCCGAGAGCCTTGTTGTCCTTGATTTATCGTATAGTTACATCAAAGAAATTTGGACCGGATCGAAGGTATAACACTCATCACAATTCTTGTATATGTGTGTATCTTCATGTCGTTTTGCATAGCATTAAAAACAAAAACCAAACCAACAACTTAAAAACGGGCTATTTAGAAAAAAAATTTGATGGGTAGATATTCTGTTTTTAAAAAACCCTAAATTATGTGGGCCGTTTGGTTTTGGTATGAAAAGTAAATTGATATATCAATACAAGTCACTAGAATGGACAGCGTAATATAATGAGCGAGTAGTGAAATAGATGATCACATTCAATTGTCATGTTTAGTTCATTCCAAAGAATGAAACATATTGTTTGTTTTAGATAAATAGGAAGCTAAATAGATCAAAAGAAAAAAAAGTTAATTTATAATAATAATATTTGATTGAATAAATATATGCATATGATCATAATTTATTTCGTTCAAAATAAAGGCCTTATGTTTTACGTAAAATTGAAAAAGAGTTATTTATTATAGAAAAAATATAATAAAAAATAGTTACCATGAAATCTTAAAATATAATTACAATAAAAAAATATATCTATTTTTTTAAAAAAAAAAAAATAAACAAAATTTTAATTTAAATTATTAAGTTTTTTAAAAGGATTAATATTATTAAAAATTATATGAGTAAAATTAATGTATATCATTTTATTCCCACAGGAATGAAAAAAAGCACCACTCTGCCGTAGAATAAAAATCAACACAAAAGAACTTTAATCATATTCCATGAGAAATCATTCATTCCTTTATATAACGGCAACGAAACATGAATTCTTTTGTTCCCGGTAAATCATTCATGGCATTCACTGTTCAATTGTTGCATAAAGAACGCTACATAAGTTTCTTAGCGGATTAATGCTCTAAGATCTTCCCAATTTTGGTTGCGCTAGTTTTGTTACATATATTTTTCTAAAAGTTATTTTTGCCATCAAACATTTTCTTCCATTTTGCATTCATTTTAAAGTATAACAGATTCATATATTCTTCTAAATTCATTGCATTGAAAAACAGAAAATCCAAGAAAGTGAAAAATATATGGTTGAATGCAAAAACCAAACACCCAAACAAAATCGATTTTCTAAGGCTAGAAACTAATTCCATTAATTATATGTTGTAATTTGTTTGGTTTGGTTTGGTTTTGTTTCATACATAGGGCTTTAAAAGGTTGACATCGATGAAACTTGCTCATTGTCGTAACTTGATAAAGACACCCGATTTCACCGAAACCCCGAATCTTGAAGAGCTAATACTCGATGGTTGTAAAAGTTTGAAAGAAGTGCATCCATCCGTTGGAACACTCTGGAGTCTCGTTATCTTAAATTTAAAAAGATGCATAAACCTCGAAACTCCTCCAAACTGCACCGGATTGAAATCCCTTCAAATCCTCAATCTCTCCGGATGCAAGAAATTGGATCAGTTCCCCCAGGATCTTGACACAATGAAAGATTTAATCGAGCTTCATGCGGATGGAACTTCAATCGACCAACTCCCTTCTTCAGTATCAATCCTTTGGAACCTTCAAGTACTTTCACTAGGCCAACGAGAAGACATGATCAAAACACGATCACTGGGTTCGATCTTTTGGCCTTTAAGTAAGATGCATCATCCACCGAGTGCAGCAGTAGTTCCTTCTTTATCGGGTTTAAAGATGTTAAGAAATATTGATGTTAGCCATTGCAAAGTAACGGATGGAAGCCTTGGTGGAATTGAAGGCTTATCGATGCTTAAAATGTTGAATCTGAGTGGGAATGATTTTAAAAGTTTGCCGAATTTGGGGAAACTTTCAAGACTTGAAACGCTTGGATTGGTTGGTTGTACAAAGCTTGAAGCATTGCCGGAACTTCCACCGAATATTGAAGTGATCGAGGCACAGGATTGCATATCGTTGAAGGAATTGCCGAAAAAGTCAACTCTGTATGAAAGTAGCTTTCAATCCTTTGACTTCACTAACTGTGCTAAAGTCATCGAGAATCAATCCATCGAAAGCCTGATTACCATGTTGCTGCCACAGGTTTGTCCATTTTCCCAAAATTTCTAAATAATTCTATCACATGACACTCATTTAAATCCTTTGAAATTGATAATGCATTTGCAATCTTATATGTTGTAGGGACGCATTGATCCTTACAAGATCCTAAGTGTTTACCTTCCAGGAAGTAGAATACCTGGGTGGTTTACGCATCAAACAATGGGAGATTGCATAACAATAGAATTACCTCAAAATTGGTGTTATGAAAACTTCAAGGGAATAGCATTTTGTCTGGTTTTTACTCCAAAAATCCACAACCGTCGGAAGAGTTACTACAATTCAATCGGGTATCGATACAGAAACTTCGATGGTACTCCGATCGGAATGCTGTCTCCTATTCCCGATTCTGTATTTCAATACGAAAGCATCGGAATCAAGTCGGACCAGATGTTGTTGAGCTATGACCCATCGAAACCAGATTGGAAAAAAGCAAAGAATTCCATTTCGGTTTCTTTTGAAGTCTATGGTCCAGATTGTGTGGTGAAGAAGTGTGGTGCGAGACTGGTGTGTGAGGAAGACGACCGAGTACAAGAAGAAGGTAGCGGTTCTCGAATGATTCAATGGCTGCTTCCATCTTCTCGTGTGGAAGACGAGCTTCTGGTATTACAGGGAGGCTGACTCTTGATTTCTTGAATGTGCCATGGCCCATGGACCTAGTCACCCCAACATTCGGCCCACAAATCTGTTTTTGTCTTTTCTGTTCTATTTAGTTTTGAACGTAATAATGTTTAATTGTTTATAACGAATTTTGCTCCATCCTCTTTATTAAATTTAACTTCAATTATATATACTATCTAACATGAATGTGCCGATTCATAAACAAATAGTGTATATTGTGGAATTAGAGAATAATGATTTATATGGATAATGAATTTTTGATTTTTGTTTATATTTAGTCAATTTCTTATATTATTATACGTGAGTTTATTTTTGTATTATAAAAATATCATGGGTCATAAGTGTATTTTTTGAACTCAAAAAATAAATTCACTTATAAATTCTATTACCCCCCCCCCCAAAAAAAAAAAAAACAAAAAAAAAAAAAAAAAAGAAAAGAAAAAAAACCCGAAAGCCACAAAATGTAAACAAAAGTACATTTTTGTTATCTAATATTTCATTTTAGTTTTACTAAAAAATCTATTCATTTGTAACATACTCATTTTTATAAATTTTTAGGGATAAAGGCTTAAAAAGATAATATATTTTTTGATTTGTATATATTTGGTCACTTAATTTTTTTTCGTCCACATTTACCCCTTCAACTTGTTAAACTGTACACATTCAGTCCTTATGACCGGTTACTCCAAGTTAGCCGGAAAAAATGACTTAATAGAGTAATATATTTCTCATTTCGTACACATTTAGTCCTTAATATTTTTGTACACATCTAGTCCTTAATATTTTTTTGTTTCAAAATAAGTCATTTTTGTTTTTGTACTCATTCAGTACTTATGAATGATTTATTTAGGTTTTTCTCACGACATCTTACGTGCGACAATCATTGATGAAGTGTGTGGGGTTGTTGATGTTTATGTGTAACGTCTCATTTTCACAACCAATAATTTTCATTTTTAAATAAGGCAAAAGTCCCTAATTATAAATCCATTATTAAGAAAAAATGTTTATTCCAAAATACATTTATCGAAAATCAGAGTAATATAAGAAGTGCATAATCCTCAATAATGTTGATGAGTGTGTACAGTTATGCTTTCGCCTTCCCACGATCAACAATAGAACCTGAAAACATAAACAACCGGGTAAACACAAAATTTAGTGAGTTTTCTCCAAAATACTTGATACAACAAACGTATTATCATGCATAACGAGCCCACACTCATCATATTGAATACCTTGGCCCAATCAGCCATCGGACTGCAATGCCAACATGCAACATGTCAAATCAGTCATCAGACTAGAATACCAAGGGTTTGTCGGCATGCCGCCTTAACCTAACCGCTCTTCTAGAGCCTCCGTGCCTACAACTTACAGCCGACCCGTACCAGGTATCTTGGCCTACATCATATAGCATGACCACCTCAACCTATCCCACCACCATATGGTTATCCCACGTAAGATGTCGTGAGAAAAACCTAAAAAAATCATTCATAAGTACTAAATGAATACAAAAACAAAAATGACTTATTTTGCAACAAAAAAAAATAATAAGGACTAAATGTGTACAAAAATATTAAGGACTAAATGTGTACAAAGTGAAAAATATATTACCCTATTAAGTTATTTTTACCGGCTAACCTGGAGTAGCCGGTCATAAGGACTAAATATGTACAGTTTAACAAGTTGAAAGGGTAAATGTGGACAAAAAAAAGTCAGTGACTAAATGTGTACAAATCAAAAAATACATTACCCTTTTAAGTCATTATCCCAAAATTTTATTTTGTAAATCTATTTTTAAATCTTTTTATCTTCTTAAAAAATAATTAAACATTAAAATGTAACTTGTCACCAACATAATTATAATAAATGATAATTAATATGATAATCATTGAAACATCTTCATTTGTAACTTCAATTTTTTTTCAAGCTTTCACAAGGAATAATATTAATGGATAGAAACATCAAACACTTACACAAACATTTAAGCCATACACAAACGTTTAAGAACAATATCTTATCGCTTATAACATAATAGCAAAAACCGCCCATTTGCTAAAATCTTAAAAGTTTACGAATATTTTTTTCTCTATCACATAACTTTGTGTCTTTCTCAAATATTGGTATACATGTCTGATGTTCTTATCTACTTGACATTTTTGTTTTTGAAAACTTGAAGAAGATTGAAGTTTATAATAAAACTAAAACACACATTTAAATGCTTAATTGCTTTTAATCAATATAAGGAGATTAAAAATGGACTTATCAAAATTTATAAAAATGTTTATAACATAAAGTTCTAACAAAGAAAATATAAATATTCATACATTAATTATCCAAATAATTATCATTATTTTTTGTTATAATATTTATTTCTAAGAAACTTTTATGTATCACTCAAATGTTTGTTTAACTGTATGCTGTTCTTATCAACTTGACATTCTTGTTTATGAAAGGTTGAAAAAGATTGGAGTTCCAAATGAAAATAATGTTTTCACTTATTTTTGAGTCTTTATTCGATCAAACTTCTGTGTGTGTGTGTATATAGGTTCAAATGCGAACCCAAAAATATAAAAAATGTATCACTTATGTGACATTCCCTATTTTCAGAAACGATTTTTTTTACGTTTTCAAAATTCATAATATGTTTAGTTTGCAGAAATTCCAAGTATATTACAATATTTTGATTACAATTGACCGTACCAAAATATCAAAAATCTAAGGATGTCATAATCGATACATAACATCGATCCTCACATACTGATACAATGATCTTATGAGATCTATCCTGATGGATCACTGTGAGCAATGAGTTGACTTTACTACTTTGGGGTGTCATTGGCAACAAACGTTAGTCAATGTAGGTAACCATGAGGGGGATGAAGTGCATTAAATAAACACACACTTCATTAACACCTATAGACTGTAAGTCTAATGGCGTATTCCACAAGACTGATTTAGTCAGTGGTCGGCATCTCAGTCTGGCAGATGACTCTGACATACTTGTTGATGGTCTGATATAGACTCACCCTTTCCAGCTATCTAAAAGGAGGGGAATACTAATATAGTACTCATGTACATAAAACGTACTACAACAAATCACAACAATGTCATCGAACAGAGTTCTACTCCCCGTTCCAAATTCACATACACCCTTTATATATTGCTACCAATGTCCAAAGTTTATTGAACTAAGCGTCTCCTTTAAGTTTTAGTCTATAACTAGAAAAGATTACAATACCCATAATCATCCTTCAACTCAGATCTCATGCCTATGTAATATCTTTATAGTACAGGGTAAGTCTTTATCTCTTCAACTTAACTCAAATTAAGCATCCTTTATGAGTCTTATCTTATCACTAGGCAAGACTAAAATGCTTAATATTACTTTCTCAAAAATAATACTTCTGTTATTATTATCATGTAATATATATTATATATATATATATATATATATATATATATATAGAGAGAGAGAGAGAGAGAGAGAGAGAGTTAGGTTCATATGTTTTCAACAAATATTGTATGTATGTGTGAACCAATCAGAATTAAGAAAAAATAAAATCATTAATAAATCATAAAAGGGTATAAGGGTAATCTTAATAAATCTAATTATGGTAAAAATAATAATTCAATTAATATATACCCTAAAATTAAGGTAACAAACACCATATATCTATCAATGGTCGTCGTTGAATTTATTCATCTCCATAGTAGCAGCGACGCCTAGCTCTGGGACATCATCTTCCTTCCTTCCTTGTCGGACCATCACAACCAGCAGCGCCGATTATTTTTTTCTCTCCTGCTACATGTTACGGCATCAACACTCTGGTTTCCTTCTCCTTGAATCGATTGTTTTCTCAACCTAAATCCATAAGAGTGAAATCTTGTTTTGACGTAAGTTTTTCTCTTTTTTTAATTTGGGTTTCTGCTACTATACCGTTTCCGTTTTCTTACCGATTATCTCCACACATTTTTTCTTCGTTTTTGATTTTTAGAGTTATATTGATTATAAACTATGTAGATTATAATTTTAATTTTTGTGCTTTGTTTCTTTAAATGCGAATGCTTTGAAGTTTCATAGATTTTTTTTTATATAACTCCAATACTCTTCTTGACAAGTTTTTTGCTAATAAGAATTTTATCGACCAAAAGAACATTACAAGGAACATGCATATTCTAGAGCTCTCTGTTATTTTTAGTAAAGAGTAATTGTTTTTTTCTTTAAATGCGGTACTTGTCCTATTTTTATTTATAAAATTTAGGTTTAATGATTCAACGTATTTATTGGAAAAAATGGAGGAGAAATGAGTAATACATAATTTACAATCTTTAGTTTCATATAATTGATTTTGATTTTGCGGAATTACTTATTCTTCTTGTTGCAAGTGTCTAAATGTTCTGCTCTCTACATGTTCGATAAAATGTCTATAAGAACCCATATTTTTTCATTGCAGTTTTAGGATTACATTCTATTAGAATAAATTAAAATTCTTTAATGTGCACTACATTCTGTCAGAATTTATAGTTTTTATTCTCATAAAATGTACTGAATTTCTAATATTTGAAAGTTGATTATATTTTCTTTGTGGATTTATTCTTTTAGAATATACTAAGGCCATGTTTGTTTACCTCTTAATTGAAAAATTAAGGTAACCTCTTAAAAATTCAGATGAAGCTCGTTTGGTAACCTCTTAAAAATTAGATCTGAATTGGATAAATGGCTCTTAATTTTTCGGACTTGAATCCAAGTCTGAAAGAAAAAATGACGGAACTACCCTAATTCACGTCTTTCTCTTCTTCACATTTTCACGTCGCCTCCTTTTTTTTTCTAATCGACCCACACTGTCAAATCCTCCATCCCTTGAAGCTTCGTTCCTCCATGCCATCTCAGTCACCGATGTCGTCTCCGTTCTTCCCTGCCATCGTCGTCGCCTCCAACTGCTGCTCCAACCCCTACATCTCCGATGTTGCATCTCGGACGTCAAAGGACCGGTGTCGGCGTCACACAAGTTGCCACACACCTCCGCCGTTGAGCACCTCCGTCATACAACACTTCGCACAGCCGCACCACATCTAATCTTCTGAAATCAGTATTCTTCTTTATAATCTCATGTTTTCTTTTGATTTTCTTGCTGAAACCGGT